TGTCCCGGCGGCGAATGCACTCCAGGAGTCACGGTGATGGGAGGGGGAGGGGGAGGGGCGAGTTTGACTCGTTCACATCACACCACGGCGGACTGTCAACTTTCACTAGCGCATGAAAACACTGGCATGTTCCCTTTTTCCCCTGTGGTGGTAAATGACATTCTAATCCCCCGGCGGTGTCCCGACCGCGTCCTACACTGTGGTGGTTTCTTGCAGCTCTTCACCGTCGGCCTCTCTTTCGCCATGTGGTTGGGCCAGGCCACCGTGGGGAGGCCAGGCCCGGGATCTCTCTCTCTCCGCTCTTTTCATACACACAGGCAAAAGCGCATATAAACTCTCTGTCACTCACAGACACACACACACACACACACAACACACACACACACACACACACACCACACACACACACACACACACACCCGCGCGCGCGCACACACACACACACACACGCACTCACACACACATGCGCGCAGACTCACACACGCACACACACACGTGTCTCTGATCCTGGTCAACGTAGCTGCATCAATCAACTTCCCACTCACTAAACTTGCCAACTTATCAACTTCTCTTCTTTCGTTAATTAAGACGCCTTCTCTACGGCAACTCGAAACTTCCCTCGACTCCACTCTGCCCACTCACTTCTTTTTCTCCGCACACGCACTCCCTTCTCCCTGGAGTAGCCGCCACTGTGGCACCTCTCCCTCCGAGCCTGAGTCAACCCGGGGCGCATTCCCCGTGCATCCGTCACAGCGGGCCACGTGCTTGTCATAGCCCGGTGTGACGCAACCATAACACAACCGCGGCTGTCGACCAGTACATGTACTGCATGTTCCCTGTTCACGCCCACGCCCTCCCGCTCCTCCGCCGGGAGATCTCGCCGCCCCATTGCCCACCGACATCCATCACGCCTCAGCCTCTCGCCTCTCGACGTTTGTGCGCCGTCATCGCCTCGTCGTGCCTACCAAGGCGAGGAGGAGGAAGAGGAGGAGGAGGAGGAGGAAGCCTCGTCGCGCTAGGCCGCTCTTTTCGTGCCCCACGCGCGTGCCAACGCTGGCCGATCACTCGCCCTCGCAATGGCGCCGGTGCCCGCATTCCCGGGGGAACCGCGCTCGCAAACAACCCCTTCAGGAGGTCAGCCAAGTCCCCTTCCTGCACACAGAGCGTGCGGGGAAGGACTCCGGGTATATTACTGCCAGGACGTCTCGAGGCTTGCCAGGCTCGGCCAACTGGCGGGCTGGGCAGTCTGGATGGAGGAGGAAGGAGGGAGAGAGGGAGGGAGGAGGCATGAGGAAGGAGGAGTAGGAAGGAGAGTGGTGCGGGGAGGGGGAAGGGAGGGAGGAGGGCGAGAGTCCTTGAGCTCCCCACCACACTGTCCACATCGCCTCGCCGCTTCAGCCACAATATCATTGATTACTGCAAGCGTTCCAGTCACCGCTCATATGTCGCCTTTTGTGGCCTTATCCTCCGGGACAAAGAAATCGCTCCGCACTACAAGATCTCAGCCACGTAACTGTCTCGCGGCGACGGGCAGGCGGAGGCGAGGCAGGTGAGAGGGTTCGGGGAAGAGGACGAACGTCGTCATCACAACAGGTATTTAGAATATTTATACATATATAGAACGACACACATAACCACCCTGCGTCACATCATATAAACATACATCTAAGTACACAAACAACAAATCTATATAAAAACAAATCAGCGAAAACCTCCACCCAGAACCTCCTGCCTCCGCGTGCAACTCCCATGCCTCCTTGCAACAGAAACACAGACGTCTCGCGCCCATCGTCTCATCCTCCCGCCGCTGCAACCTTCGCTCGCATCATCCGCAGCATTTCCGGACACGTCAAGTTCACACGACTGAAACAGGAACTTTTCCCACTTTCGGATAAATTCTATGCTTCGAGTGAATGCAGTAATTCGAGAACCCAACTTCCTTGTTATGTCAAGGAATTTTCTGTTGAAATTAAGATGACCAGAAAGAAAACGGACCGACATGCAGTAGGGATGAAAGATATGCAATGCACGAGAAAAAGAAAAGAATCTAGCAAGATAGATAGATTGGTAGATAGACAGGGAGGGAAGGGAGAGAGAGAGAGAGAGAGAGAGAGAGAGAGAGAGAGAGAGAGAGAGAGAGGAGAGAGAGAGAGAGAGAGAGAGAGAGAGAGAGTGAGAGAGAGAGAGAGAGAGAGAGAGAGAGAGAGAGAGAGAGAGAGAGAGAGAGAGAGAGAGGAGAGAGGAGAGAGAGAGAGAGAGAGAGAGAGAGAGAGGAGAGAGGAGAGAGAGAGAGAGAGAGAGAGAGAGAGAGAGAGAGAGAGAGAGAGAGAGAGAGAGAGAGAGAGAGGAGAGAGAGAGAGAGAGAGAGAGAGAGAGAGAGAGAGAGAGTGAGAGAGAGAGAGAGAGAGTGTGAGAGAGAGAGAGAGAGAGAGAGAGAGAGAGAGAGAGAGAGAGAGAGAGAGAAGAGAGAGAGAGAGAGAGAGAGAGAGAGAGAGAGAGA